TTTAGGGGTTTAGGGTTTAGTGTGCATCTGCTCCATGCTGAGGATGGGCGGCTAAGTGAGTCCGTGCCTGAGCGCTCCAACTCCGGGCCAAGCGGTTGAAGCGCAGTTTAGGGTCTAGGGTTTAGGGTTACTGGTTTAGGGTTTAGGACGTAGGTGGGTTTAGGGTTTAGGATTTAGGTGGGTTTAGGGTTTAGGATTTAGGTGGGTTTAGGGTTTAGGATTTAGCGAAGTCGGGAATTTAGGGTTTGGGTTGCAAGGCTTTGCTCGGACTCTGTCGACCTCGAACCCCAATCCGATGTCAGCGCTTGTGTCGTTTGCGCATGCATCAATACTGTTGACGATATAAAAAAATAAATCCTGCATTACCTTAAAGACCCTAAACTATGGAAATTATGGTATATTCCTTAATACGGGTAGTGCAGGAATTACATCATCAACCGTACGTTTGTTGTGGCACCTTGTGTCTTCTGAGTCTGTGCCGATGGCTTGCCCTGATTAAGCGTCCAGATAGACTCTAATGACTTTTTATACAATATTTTTAGGGTTTAGGGTTTAGGGTTCGGGGCCAACTTGGTAGCGCTGGGGTTGACCATAGCATGAGACCACGAAGCGCATAACATGCAGCCTGCCTAGTTCGAGTATTAATGTAGGGGCCTAAATAATCACCAATACTATTTTGGGAGATCCGTACTATAATTATAGTAAAAGGCCTGAATAGAACCAATGCTATTTTGGGGGGTTCCTCGTTATAATTATAGTCTACTGGGCCCCAAAAACCTGTTCTAATCATGAAGACCCCTGTACTAAACCCTTATGGAACCCTGATACGAACCCTTACTCTTAAGAAGCCCAGTTCTAATTATTAAGGGCCCTGTGTTGGTTTAGGGTTTAGGGTTTTAGGGGTTTAGGGGTTTGGGTTTAGGGTTTAGGGTTCAGGGCTTAGGGTTCTGGCCACAGCTTGCGGCAAGCAGGCCAGAGCCGCGATAAGTCACGCTTTGGCAGATGACAATGACTTTACGTAGTTGGGGTTTAGGGCTTAGGGTTTAAGGGCTTAGGGCTTAGGCTTGAAGGGTTTAGCCCCAGAGTTTACGTTCAAGTCAAGCATTCATCATTCACTCGTCATGGCTTGTGAACCTTTCAGATCCGCCAACAGCGCTGCTGCTGAGGTGTGCATCGCAAGGTTGTACTCCACAGGCGCGGTGCAGAGAAGCCCTGTGTAGCAGAGAGTGGTTTCTTGAAGCTTGCATGCTCGATTATATTATATTTATTTAAACTCATATATATATATATACATATACATATATCTCTTACCAGATCCTATTATATACATACAAAAATAGCTCAACTACATTACGGGTGGAGCCCTGAGGGAGCCACTTCAAGCTCTAAGTCATCGGGTGTCGTTTCGCTGGGGTTCGGAAGACAGAGATAACTTGCTTGGAAACCTTAGGGTTTAGGGTTTAGGGTTTAGGGTTTAGGGTAATAAGTATTCCAAGTCTACTTGTTCGGGACAGGAACCATACTAGAGTCCCTTGCATTCTGAAAGCTCCCCTTTTGGTCATGATGTATTGCTTCCCTTAGAACTTCATGCAGCATCGTAGTGCGGCCAGGTGCCTCTGGAGCCAACCCACTTGCAGGCGTGGCACCTTGTGCAGACAGCTAATGCACGAAAAGCTGAAGCAGCTTATAAGACTCCAGTTTGCGGCGCATCTGTGAGCGAGGTCATATGGGAGTCGGAATACTTACTAGTCATATCACCTTGCAGTCCCTGTACCATTGTACAGTTATGTAGCCCATCGTAATTTACAAGGCTGCAATAGTAACCGATCAGACTTGAGACCTGGAGTACACCCTAAACCCCAAACTCCAAGACTGTGCTAGGAAGCACACCCCAAACCCCAAACCCCAAGACTGTGCTAAAGAGTACACCCCAAACCCCAAACCCCAAGACTGCGCTAGGAAGTACACCCCAAACCCCAAACCCCAAGACTGTGCTAGGGAGTACACCCTAAACCCCAAACCCCAAGACTGTGCTAGGGAGTACACCCTAAACCCCAATTTCCAAGACTGTGCCAAGACCACACCGACGACGACTGTGGCGGCTTCACCGCCGCTTTCCTACACCACCGGGGCGACCGGCTCCTGGGTTGCTGCCTCAGCCGAAGGTTGATAGCGCTTCGTAGTGGGCTGTGCGGGTGTTAGGTTTAGGGTTAGGGTTTAGGGTTTTGGGTTTAGAAGTCGTCTGTCGGTATTTGGAACACAAATGCAATCATTCTGCTAGAGACCCAGATGCCGATCCTTTCCCATGCCCAAACCGGTTCGGAGAGTCGCATCCAAAGACGCGCAGGTGGCACCAGCACAAGCCGTGACAAAGGGGCCGGGGCCTTGACACACAGGCGGCACAGGCTAGGATGTTTGATTAAGGTCTACAATGGGCCTGAATACTTGCCTAGAATATTTTGGGGGTTCCTTAGTATGACTAGATTATGAAGGACACCTAAACCCTATTGAAGATTATTCAGGCCCCTACATTTAGGCGGCTTTCAGAAGTCCGCCGAAACCCAAAACCTGGAATTGCCAGGATTGTGTGTTGTAAGGACGTTCCACTGCAGGGCTATGAGGGGTTGACACCACGAGAGGTTTCAGGGGCGAGTATTTCAGCATTCTGTACTGTAACGGTCTATGTACATATAGATTCTACACTTTGGCCGGAAAGGAACTACCTAGGATCCCCTTCCAGGCCCGAGTGCTGTTGATCTAGCTCTCTCTCTCCCTCATGCTCGATGTGTTTGTGTATATATATATATATTCATGTACATATACATATCTATACACATGTATTTATTTATATACATATGCGTATTTTCACACACACATAAAATCTGTTACTTGCGCCATAAAGGGGGTATAGACTCCGCAATATGCAAATGGCTAGCACCTTCAAGCCATCGTCGAAACCTCCGGTGCAAAGCCCCCGAGCCCTGAATTTCCTACCTCGTTCCGGAAGCTGTTGGTTTTAGAGCGACCTCCCTAAGCCCGAAACCCTAAGCCCTAAACCCTAAACCCTAAACCCCAAACCCTAAGCTCAACTCAGCACCAAAATTCTGAAGCATTTCGAAGCCCTGAATCCGATCCAAGCATTAGGGTTAAGGGTTCAGGTTAGGGTCCCAAATTAATGTAGGGGCCTAAATAATTACTAATACTATTTTGGAGTTCCTTCGTACAATTAGAGTATAATGGGCCCCAAGACCCTATTCTAATTATCAAGGCTGCTGTATGAAACCCTTTAGAACCTTGTAGTAACCCTTCAAAGGAACCCTGTTATAATTATCAAGGCCCCTTTATTAAGGCTTTAGGGCCCCAAATATCCGAACACCATGGGAACTCTCATGCCCTCCGCACGACGCTGAGATCCGACGTGCCGGTGTCCATCAAGCAAGTACGTCCGCGGGAGGCCTTCTCCAGCGACACCCTGGGTTTAGGGTGTATATAGGGTTTAGGGTGGACTTCTATCCCAGACCCTGAACACCCCGTAGATTCCATTTTTTTGTAAAATTGCTCGTTATTGTTATTGCGTGCCTTAGGCTCGTTAACCTCGGTGAGCACACTTAGCGCTTCCGATGTTTGGTGCCCATCTACGAGACTGGTCTAGCCTTGGCCCCAATTTCTGCCCCAAACATACAATAGAATCTGTGGGCCCGAAGAGAGGCCGGTGGTTCAGGTGCCGGTGGTTTACTGTAGTAGTGACCTTGCCTTCCTCCCAAAGAGGGCCAGAATTAGGATCCCAAAGTACCTGCCCTTCAAAAAAAAGGGGCTTAGTACTCAGAGGCTTGCTCATCTTTGCAATTTCGGTGGCCTTTCAGCATCAACGCATACACTCCGGGGATAGCCACCCCCGGATTTCAGGCATTCTGCGTTTGTGTCAAGGCGTTTTTTGAGTTGTAGGAAGTTTCGCTTCGGGGTCCCAGAGCCCGCACTTTTGGCTTTGGGGTTCTTGGGATGTTCAGTCGATCTACGCTTTCCGACAGCTCTAGAGCTATTGTAGCTATAGCACACTTCGCAAGAGGTGCAGGTGAGTTTTTCCCCCCCTCCCCCCCCAAACATAAGGCATTTCCACGGAGAAAGGCAAGATGCAGTCCTTTTCTGTTTGAGATACCTCTTATGTGTGTGGGCTCTTCAAAACTAGGCATTGTGCAAAAAA